AATGATGAGGGCAATGAATGTACAAATGCGCTTTACACAATTGATGTATGTATGGATTGTGATAAGAGTTCTATGAGCCCCTAATAAAATGATTAAAAAAAAAAAGAAGACTAAAATCCTCACAACAGGACCAATAGGTAACCATGATAAATTGATGGTGCATGTAGAGTCACATAAACTCATAAATAATAAATATTCCCTCCTTATGACCTCCTTCAGCTGTAAGATCTATCTGTACACCTGCACAGGTCCAAAGCCGAGTCTCTCTCACCATCAGACATGCATGTGCACACATATCCACATTAATCCCCACACAGAAGCATACTTATAGCAATGCACGCTCACACGGTACCTGGTCATACATCTACACATTCATTTACTCCCAAGCATAGGCAAAACTGTATGACACATTTATGTGACATAATACCTATTTATGACACACATACATTCATAAACAAGTGTACACACAGGCATACTTACACATGTCCATAGACATGTAGACTCTGTCTCACTTCCAATCAGATAGTGAACATACATGGAAATATAGAAGTGAGCTCACAAATACACACACACATCTAGACACATACAAGTATATTCACACACACTCACACATGGATGTACTTGTACACCAAGATATGAACATGCCTTTATATGAGATGATGCATACATATATTCTAACACAAGTAAACTTGTACATACAAGTGAGTATATACCCTATGCACATATTCACATGTATATAGCTGCCATTAATTCCTCTAGTCTTACATTCAGAAATGGAAACACAAGTGTAGTCTCAAAATATACTCATGTAATCACAATTAGATTTGTACATCTTATTCATCCACACTTATTTATACAACTATATGAGAAGCTATGCAAAAGATTAACTTACACTTATATTCAAATTTACAGACTTGGATACAAAGGTATATTTATACAGATGCATTCATGAAAGCACACTTAGATACTCTCACACAGACTTGTACACACAATGACATATATAAACATATATACAAATGCACACATGAGGGGCTTCAAAAATTTTGTGGGGCTGCTTGTTTTTCTTCAAGCCTTTAAGACCCCAGATGCTATATCTTTTGATAGCCGGGCACCACGAGCGGGGAGGGAGGGGGAAAATGAGGAGCTGATATCAAGGGTTCAAGTAGAAAGTAAATGTTTTGAGAATGATGATGGCAGCAAATGTACAAATGTGCTTGACACAATGGATGTATGTATGGATTGTGGTAAGAATTGTATGAGCACCCCCCAAAATGATTTTTAAAATTTTGTGGGGAAATTCCATTATTCTTTGATTCATTTTTTCCATGCACTTTTTGAAGCTTTCATATACAAATATATACATATGTATATGCACATGTACACGCACACTTAAATACACATATCAATCAAGAGTGGCATGCACACAAATACACTGTTCTACAACATATTTCCTACATAAATAATGACATATTCAGATATTTAGAACTGTACAAACTTATATTAATACACCTGTATATTAAGATAAGCATACACATAGGCATGCACTCACACAAATACACTACTATTTGCACATATGTACAGACATTTTTACTTAAACATATACATGGCTAGATGTTTACACATATTAGTATAAACACATATATACACATTCACACTCATAAATGCAAACAAAACAAATAATGACACATGCACACCCAAGAATTATAGTTACTCACACGTACCACAAATATGTACACACAACAGTGTATTCACAAACACAATTAGATACATACACAAATTTATCTCTTCACTCATGCACAAAACCTGATGTGCAATCTATATAGAGATCTATATCCCTACAGTCACATTCATATATAATCAGATGTGTACACATAAATGTGTACACAAAAAATATTTTCAGAAATAGTATATATTCACACACTGTCCTTTACCTACACATACTAATTAGCTAACACTACACAATTAGTTAATACTAATAAAATGCAGACCCATAGTTTTCTCCATAGACTATATGCAACCCAGCATGCACACACAATGAAGCACATAGTTAAAAATGCTGTGAGTCCACATAGGCATTCACACCCAAGCCTATTCATACATGTACATGATAGACACATTCTGTTTACACGCACATATCCTCCTATACTTGCATGGATATTCACAAATATATGCCTTACACTCACAAACACGCCATTTAGATATACCTACACTTATATGCACATATGAATATATCTACACTTATAATACACATATGCACATACACAAATATATACTTTAAGAAAACTAGACACTTCACCTAATCAGACATGCATTCCAAAACCCACACAGTCACACACAGAATAAGACACAGAGATGTACACTCAAAGATACATTGATACCACAAAAATATACAATCAAACATTTAATAAGCCGATTAGCTCAAGAAAACCTCACTTGCTCACTGAGACAGACATGCACAGTCATACCTACCTACACAAGCCTACCTAGACACACACACATACCATCACATGACTTGCTCACACACAGAGAGACTCATGTACATTCATAATATCCATACAGACATGCACACAAGGCAGATTGCACACAACATCACACATTTTCAGTCACATATATACACCCACACAGACCTCTAGACCACACCACCTCTCTCCTTTCCACATTCAATGCTTCTTCAGAAAAGTCCACAAACCCTACCTCTCCCTACTCCAACAGAGGAACCTTCTGGGCTTCATTCTTTGATTGTTTTTCTCACTCTGCTTGCTCCTCACCTTGAGGTCCCTCTTCCTGCTACCAATTTCTCACTCCCTGATCCATCACAAACCATCTCTCGGCTCCAAAATGGCAAGTCTCTGGGGCCTGTCTTCACAGGTCTGGCTTTTGAAGAGGCCACAGTACAGCTTTACTCTAAGCCCTGTAGTCTTTGAAACCCACCTTTGTCTTCAGGCCCTGCCAATCATAGATCACCGGCCAAACTCTGGCCAAGTTCCCCCTCAACAGGGAGATACCCAGGCAGCTGTTAGCTCATGGGGGCTTGAGGCTCTATGTGTGTGTTGTGGGCACACAGAAGCAAGTGCAGAGAAAGAAGCCTTCAGTAAGGTGGGGATGACAGGCTCTACCCACAAGAGCTAACTAATCCCTCCTTACAAATGATAAGAAACAATATAGAGCTGCTCTGCCTCCCCTCCCTTCCTCCAAAATTGTCTACCTGCTATTCTCCACCAGATCTCTACCGAAACCTCCCCCAAGTAATAACTGTTTATTATAATGAGTTACAATGCTGTCCATGAGCTTTGCTGACATTGGGTCAGTGCCACCTCTATACCACATCCTTTGTATATGTATATATGTATTAAATTCCTATACATAATCATGAAAAGAGTTCCCAGACCCTTTGATAGATGGGAAAGCTGATGTTATATAAGCATGCTTTCACTAAAGTTGCAGATAGAGTAGTTGGGGGAAGTGTCCCTGGTAGAATCTGTGTTCCACATATGAGATGCTTTCCCATCTCCAGACCAGGATTGGAGAGTTGATCATAGGGACGGACATTTGGCTACTGTGCACAAAGTCACAAATTCTGAGAGTCTCAGACACAGCATGAACATCAGAAAGAGATATAGAGAGCCATGTAATGGAGGCTGAGGCTCAAACTCTGGGGATGGCCATCTTTTGGCGGCCCCTGCAGGATGTCATGTTGCTTGATCTTTGCCCCCACAGAGCCACCATGAAGTCATCAGGCAACTCAGAGCTTGGAAGTGCTCCCTACCCTCACATCATCTTTCTTCAGCCCTCTAGCAGCTTTCTCCCCTTAGGTGAGAATCACAGCAATATCTTCAGTGGTGAGTTGGCACAAGTCTGTGCTACCTGTGGGGAAAGACAGGGGAAGGAAGGAAGCGAAGAAGGGAAGAAGGGAAGAAATAAGGACCAACAAACAAAAGGAAAAAGTGTAGGAGGTTTGGTTTGGGCTGGGAGCAGCTGCTCTGTCATGTCTACCTACCTGCCTGCTACCTAGGTGCTCTCTTTCTCTCTCTCTCTCTCTCTC